ATAGGTTCTCTAAGCCTTGCTTACTTTCAACCGCTTCTGGCACTGCTATGATGTGAATATTGTTGCATTCACGTTGTCCCACAGCTGCCTTAAACTGTCCTCTTGTTTTTTAATTGTTTTTTCTTTTTGGTTCTCTGATTGAGTGATTTTTTTCTACCCTGTCTTCTAATTTGCTGATTCGATCCTTGGGTTCCTCTAATCTGCTGTGTTATTCCTCCCAGTGTATTCTTTATTTCTGCTATGTCATTCTTAATTTCCTCCATAGTTTCTATATCTTTTCTCATCATCCTTACAATCAGTATTCTGAACTCTTTATCTGATAGATTGCTTATCTCCATTTCACTTAGATTTTCTTCTGGAGAATTCTTTTGTTCTTTCATTTGGGGCTTATTTTTTTGTCTCCCCACTTTGGCTGCCTATTTGGGTTTATTTCTATGTATTAGGTAGATCTGCTAGGACCCTCAGTCTTTTGGGAAGTTCTCTGGTGTAGGTCAATATCAGACTCTGTTTGTGACTGGCCTTGAGTATCCTGTTTGGAGCTCTCAACAAACCATATCTTGAGGCCCCCTCTGTTGAGGCTAGGTGCATTTGGACAGGACCAAGATGCACATCAAAGTCTGCTTTTCCAAGGCCAGGGTCCAGAAGCAGATCAGGCAAAGACTCAAAGCACTCTGAGGTCCACTTCTGCCTGCAGGCTGATTAATCTAATTCTCTTAATGAGCCTCGGACTGTAGAAACTCCACAGGGTGGGGGAGCTGATTGTTATCAGTCTCTTAAGGAGCCTTAGGCTCTAGAAACTCCACAGGATACAGAGAGGTTTTCCAGCAGGATGAAGCAATTGCTTCCCCCCAGGCAAAAGCTGTTCGGAAGGTAAATGCCTGCTTGAGAAAGATATCCTCTGCCATATGGAAAAATAGCTCAGCATAGGAATCCAGATGGCTGCCTTCTGAGGTCTATCTCCAGAGCCCAAACCCCACATTCTTCTCACACCACTCTAGTCCACTTTGCCCTCACTCTGCCAGAGCCCAAGATGAGTGGCTGCACACAGAACTTTCTGCGTTGGCCATTTAAGAGGGTTCCTGCATTACTAGCCCTCTCTCCCTGGCAGACAGAAACCCTGCTGCTTTTCACAGCTAGACGTTATGTGGGTACCTTTCTCACTTCTGGTGCTCTGGGCTGGGGAGCCCAGCTTGGGCTTAGACCCCAGAGTTCTCAGTGGGAACCTCCCACTAACCCTCTAGACCTTCAGCTGCTGCCTGTGGTAGCCTGGCCAGCCTTCTCACACCTGAGCACTTTCTACCAGTCTCTATGTGGTCTCCACTTTATGTCCCTGGTTATGAGGGTACTCTCCAGCTCATCTTCAGCTGATTATTCAGGATGGTTTTTCTATATTTTAGTTGTATTTCCAGTTTGGTCCTGGGAGAGTGTCAGTGTAGCTTCCACTCAATCTGCCGCCATCTTGGATCTCTATTCATTTTCATTTATAGCCATTTTTTTCCATTCAAAAAATCTTTATTAAGAACTACTATGTAGAGCACACCATGCAAGGCATTAGGAATGAAGACAAGTAAGATAAGACATATCATCAATGATTCTTCTTACCTACAATTCTTTCTTCTCCAATCCACTCATAACCAAGTAAACATTAAAATCATAAACATAAATACAATGTTCTATGTTATAAATAATGTGTCAGTAGCAGAACTAATTTTTAATTTAAAAAAAACTCCTGACATGATATGAGTCTGGGTTTTATTCAAAATTGAGATGGAAAAATTTTTTAGGTCTGATTTACCAAAGGCAGTCAATGATAGGGCAAAAAATAGACTTGTGCCCACATCCCCACTGCTCCTAATACAGTTTCCTATAGACAAGGGGCCCTCAGTAAACAGAATTACAGGCATCAGAGATCAGCAAATTCAATCCTCTTACCTTATATACTAGTATGGTGAGATCTAGAGTTAAGTAACTTGCCCAAGGTCATAACATGAGCTAACACTAAAACCCAAACTTTGAAAATGCTTCATTTTAAGTGCCTAAAGCACAAAGTTCCTACAATATGCCGAGAGAGGGATATAAACATAACAATGCAAAACCGAAAATTAATTTTTACTGAAAGTGCATTTTAGCATTAACTGGTAAAATATTCAAAACTCAGATATCAGAAAGACAGTGTTAGATTTAATATAATTAAGAAGAGAAGGTACCTGCAAAAACCTAAAAGGATACATTATAATATTTTCTACTCCAAAATTTACCAAACCAAAGTAACATAGAAAAAAAAAAGAAATAGTTTCATATGCCTTTCTTTATGTATCAGTCTTATGTGGAAGAAAATTATTTTAAGCACGGAACCAAGTCAATTTCTATGCCTTATTTACAAGTGTATTAAGTTATATTCCACTGATAAAAAGACACATATGTACTATATTTGTAACAGAAAAGAGTTCACATAGATTTTCATATTTTTCAAAGTAACTATTTTAGATAATGATAAGGGGTGATTTAAATATTTTATTCTGAGTGCAGAGGGAGAAAGTTAAAGCCATGTACATTAAGAAACTACAAGATAGGCCCTGGCTGGGTAGCTCAGTTGATTAGAGCATCATCCCGCTACATCATGGTTGTGGGTTTGATCCTGGGTCAGGGCACATACAAGAATCAACCAATAAATGCATGAATAAGTGGAACAACAAATCAATGTGTGTCTCTCTCTCCTCTCTCTCAAAAAACAACTACAAAATAAAATAAAACAATATTTACCATCCACTGATATGGTATGTCTACTTATGTCTACTAAGTGATATAAACTGTGCTAAATAAGTGCTTTACACATACATACCACCTCATTTCACAACAAATGGGTAGAATGGATAGTATAATTATCTCCATTTTGCTGATTATAAAAATGGAAGCTTAGAATAATTTGTCTAAAGTACTCAAGTAGTAGTAAAAGCAGAATTTGTTCTCAAACCTGTATGGTATTCAAGCTCTATCAAATTCCTGGCCCTACATGGTTTAGATCAAGGTCAATTCATCATTTCTAAGGGGTGGATTACATGATCTCTAAGACCCCTTCTGACAATAATTCTGTGAGCAAAAACAGAAATCAGTTCAGAATTCACATAGTATCTGTGACAGTATACTCCAGGTCTAAGGAGAAGGCCATCAACAGACAAACCTATAAAAAAAGGAGAAGGGGGGAGAGGGTAAGACGAGGAGGAGAAAGAACAATAGGCTCTTCCAAGGGGCCTGACACAGATACATTTTACTAGCCATCAAGGCCACTGTGACAAGAGTGAAAAGGGGGAACCTACAAAAGAAATTGAAAGCAGAACTGTATCAAGCCCACTGATCTTGCCTCACAGCAGACAAGGAAGGAGCTGTTGAGAGGCCTATAGGAGCGGCCATGAACTCAATGCTGGGCTAAGTTGCAGTCCTAAAATAAACACTGGTCACTATTGTAGTTAAATAGAAATAGTCGAGTACAGATGACTAACCACTAGGTTTCTAGAAGAGGCATTCCACAACTGCCATGCATTTGGATCAATCTGAAATGTGTAATACTATGGAGTGTGCTTTTAGACAGAATGGGGAAGGAACCAGCACTTACCCTAGTAAGTTCCTCAAGTTCCTACCATATTCCAGGCACTGTGTACATGTACTTTCATGTGTTAAACCTCACAACAACCTTGGTAGATGTGATGGTTTATTTTACATGTCAACTTGGCTAGGCCATGGTGTCCAGATATTTGGTCAAATGTTATTCTGGATATTTCTGTGAAGGTGGTTTTTTGGTTGGAGTTAACATTTCAATCAGTGGACTTTGAGTAAAGCAGACTTACCCTCCAGGATGCAGGTGGGACTCATCCGATCAGGTGAAAGCTTAAATATCCCAAAAGACTGGCCTGTCCTGAGCAAGAAGGAATTCTGCAAGCATACTGCCTTTGGACTCAAATTGTAACTCTTCTGTGGCTCTCCAGCTTGTGGGTCTACCCTGCAAATTTTGGACTTACCAAGCCTCCACAATCATATGAGCCAATTCCTTAAAATAAATCAATCTCCCTTTGTGGAGATACACACACACAAATCCATTGGTTCTGTTTCTCTAGAGAACCCTGACTAACACAGTAGATATTGCTCTCTATTTCAGCACTCAGGAAAATGACAGCCTGAAAGGACTCATTCTCCTTACCCACAATATTACACAGTAAAATGCCCTCAGGACTCACATTCTAGTCTGAGGGGCTAGCATAGGAGGTAGAGGGTAGTGAAAAATAGGGAAACCTTGTAACCACAAGCCACACATCCCAAGGAGTCCTTTACAACACATGTACCCAGAGCCTTAATGTGCCCAAGCGATGAACTATTCTTTGTCTGGTCTCCTGATTCAGTTATTTTGGATAAAAGAAATAAAATATTTCTACTAAATCAACAACACTTGAAGACTTTGAAAGAAGAGGCAGGGGCTATACATATGTTCAGTCTTAGGAAGAATAGGGAAGATTAAAAACTCTACTAAAAGGGCTACAAAATCACCTTTGAGCTGAGCATAAGATGACAAGCTGGCATTTTAGGTTAAATATGAGATATCATTGAATAAGATATTGAAAATTTGTATATTTAAGGGCAGCTTTGGGACAAAGGATGACTGCTACAGCAGAGTAGGGGACAGAGTTGGCATTAAGTAAGTTGGATTTGGCGGGAGGGAATTTGAATTAGAGCGTCCTCTGAGAGCAGAACAACTTGAAGTGACTGTCGTGGTCAGTTACAGAAGAGTGTGGAGCGAGGACTGATAGTAAATTACTGGTAATGGGAGGAGAGGTTTTAAACAGAACCGGGACTTGGGGCCACCCTTTGGAAAATGTGATCCAAAGATCGGACAAGTCCTAGGCATTTAGGGGGTTGAAATTCTGTTTGGGTTCCGGTGCCTGGGGTCTCATCGGTTGGGCGGGAGACCACGAAGCCTCAGTCCTTTCCCAACCCCTACCCAGACTTACCTTCTGTTGGAAGTAGTGAATCGTGTACTTCATGACTACAGCTGGGCGGGATATGAAGCTGCTTGACAAGCGCTGGCTTCTGAGGGCCTTTACTGCCAGCGGCTCGGGGATGGGGGCTCCGGGCATCACGAAAGCCATGAGTAGAAGCAGGAGGACGCGGCGCCCCATGGCTCAGCTGGAGGCTACTGTGCGGGTGGGAGGTAGACCGGCAGCTGCCCAGAGCCCGAAGCTCCGCCCACCTCGACTTGGCTCCTCCCCCGGGAAACCCAAAGTCGCCCCGCCCCTCAGAACCCGGCGTAAACCCGGGACACCCTAGCCACACTCCAAACGTGCCCTCCTCATCCCAGGGCCCCATCCTCCCAGCCAGCGCACTCCCATCCTTAACTAGATCGCCCTCTTTCTGCCCGGTCACCCGGTATTCTCGTCTTTGTCGTTACCCCCAAACCCTACCCGGTCCGTCTTGCTTCCATCGCCACACCCCTTGCCCTCCGCAAACCCTAAGTGGGTAATAATAATAATAGCTACCGTGACAGTTTATTGATCGTTCACTACATCATTGAGCATAAAGCACACACATCATCTCATCTAACAAAACCATCACAGAAATCTTTCCGCGTGCATGACTGTTGTTCCCATTTACAGAGGAGGAAGCTGGGGTTCGGACAGGTGCGGGCTCGCACTGGGTCCCTGAGCGGTGCAGCTCGGCCTCTCATACTGCTCTTTCTGGCGCCTTGACTCCACCTCATTAAGTCTAACCACCTCCGACGGGGCTCTGTCCGTGGGGCAACCCAAACCTCCGCGATGCCCACACGACCCATTCCGTCCACGGCGGAGGTCGCCGGAAGCCCACGTGGCCCCGGAATCCCGCTGGGTCCCGGACCCTTCTTCCGTTAACGCCCCTCTCCCTGGCCCGCAGCCCGCTTCCGGCCCCGCCTCTCTCTCCCTCTCTCTCTCTGGTCTCTCTCTCCGTCGCCATCTCTCTCTCCCTCCTCCCGCTGCCACCCCCTTTCTGTCCCCGTCCCCGGGCCGTCCCATCCCTCTCGGGAAGAACCCCTTCCGCCTTCACGGCTCCAGCCCCCTTGTTCAGCCGGCTTTCCTCCTCGTTCGTTACGCCGCTGAACGCCACTCGCAGGGGGGCGCCCACCCTTCCCGGGAATCCCTACGCCCAGCGGGCTCCGCGCCGCCCCACTACCGCTGCTCGGCCAGCCCGGGAAAAACTCGTCAGACCTGCCTCTACACCCAGTTTGCCAACAGCGATCGTTTCCAAACGTTCACAGCAAATCCAGGTTAATCTCCACCCTCGGCAACGCCTTCTCCTGATTGGCTCTGAGGCAGCGGCTAAAGCGTCACTTCCGGCGGAAGGGGCCGCGGGAGATTCAACTGGAGTCCTGCCGGCCTGGCTGACGGAGTGTTGCCCGGGCGGCGTCCCGGCCCCTGCCTCCGGTGAGTAGCTGCGGGAAGAGGTTCTCCCGGAGGGCGGGGGCCGGAAAACGGGACTTTGTTATTTTTTTCAGGAGTTAGCCTCTTTTATAAAAGGGCGGTCATTTTAATTTTAGACGGTGCTCTTGTGATCGCTCGGCCCGCGTTTCCTGAGCTTTCACTGTGCTAATCGAGCTAGACACGGATGAGCATCTGGAACTGGGAATACAGAAAGGCAAATATAATACTGCAGCTTTTGAGGTGCTCAGAGATACATACTCAGCTGGCTGCTATGCAGAAAGTAATGTGCTGAAAAGGGGGTCTTTTCCAAACCGCGTTGATGGCTCAGAGGGAAAAGCGATTAACTGAGCAGTGAGCGATCAACACGAAAGTTTTCTGAATTCCTTCCTTATCGCTCACTTCTAGGCAGTCACTGTGACAGTAGCCTCCCAGCTGGTTCTCCTTCCGTCAGCCTTGTTTCCTGCCCAGCCGGTCTCCGCACTGCCAGGCCGGTAAAGCTCAAACCTGACCAGGGCACTCATGATTTAAAACCTTTCAATGGCTCCTATTTTTCCTCAGATGTAAGTCTAATCTCCTTAACACGGTTTACAGGGCCCTTCTTGCCCGGCCTTTGCCTGCCTCTCCAGCTTTGTTTTTCACCACTCTTAGCCCTACGATCCAGTCACACAGAATGTCTTTTTGAGTTCCTCAAATGAACCATCCTCCCTCAGCTCCAGTTATTCATTCTGCAGGTAATTTTTAAGGGATTCCTTGATCTGTGCCAAGAACTGCTAGATACTGGGATTACAAAGGTTAACAAGATAAATTCCTGCCCTCATGGCACTTAAACCTTCTGTGGATGGATGTAAGAGGGATAACAAGGGAACCTACTTGAATTAGGTTCATCTGGGAAGGCGTCTCGGAGAAATTGACATTTAAATTAAGGCCTAAGAGATTGGAATGATCCAGCCATTTAACAGAGGAAAGGAATAACATTCTAAAGTGAATGGGTTGTGCAAAGGTTCTGAGGCAAGAAAGAGCTTGGCATCTTCCCGTTCAAGAACCTAAGAAAAGACCAGTGCTGCTGGAATATATTCAGAAAGAACAGCTGTGTGAGATGAGTCTGGAGAGATTGGCAGGGACCGGGCTACTTAGTTAGGATGCTAATGCAGCAACATAATAGGCAGGAAATAGTAGTGGTTTGCATTAAGGTGGTGGCAGAATATGGGGGGG